TCATCGTTTCTTCCACTGTAGTAGGATTTAGATCATCTTTTCTTCCTGTGTAGTGTCCTTCAGGACTTTTGGAGCAGGATGGAAGGTTGGCTTCAGGCCCAGGGAATTGAACTGCCAGCTCTGATTTTAACAATAATAAAATTTGGTGTTTATTTTCAAAACTCTAAAATATAATTTTTAATTAATAACAAATATTACTAGGAATGTTTTTTGTTCATAAATGTAGATTTTTTTTTAAGGTGAATTCAAATTTATGTCATTGGGAAAATTACCTGAAATGTTTTTGTGAGTCTCTTAATTTGGTTAAAAGTAAGTCTGCTCAACAAATCAAAATTATTGTATTGTTTTTATATTTTTGAATAAAAATATGAAATGTGAAACCTAATGGTTACTTTGTATTAGCCCTGTTTGTCTTGGTTTGTTTGTAAACTGTTCTTAATAAAATAATAAATAATAATAATTTTGCTGAACATCCTGACAATCCCCAAGTTTGTTCCTGTTTTTGTATGTCAAAAATCCAAACCAACAAATGAACGTAAATAAGATATTTTGCTAACAGACAACAGGCTGCACCAACAGCTAATGGCAAGGCTTTAAACTCCCCAGACTGACAACATCCTCCACCCTCATTTGCCCCACTCTGAACCCTTGAGCAAGGCCCTTAACCCCCACCATCTGCTCCCCCGGGCACACTAGACAGCAGTTAGGGATGGTGCTCGCTACTATTATGCTAAGATACAGTATTTCCTCAATATTTATGAGACTGACTCCAAACGTTGGTCTGTTGTAGATGAATATTTAGTCATTATTTTGTGAATTTTATTAGAAAGAACATCTCTGCTGGCCTAAAGCGGGATGGTAAAATCTTTCACACACAAACAAACACAAACTCCCAGCTGAGGGTTACAAAACAACTACAAGCCACACAGAAATGATTTGCAGTGGTTTGTGTGCCTGGTGCAAATGTTTCCATTTTATTTTAGTTCTTTTATATAGCGCAAAGTCACAACAATATAATCTCAGGGCAATGTAAAAAACATTGACGTGCTATAAAAAAATGACAATTTGCACACATTCAATTTGTGAAGTTTCAAGTTGGTAACTGGAATCAGATAATCTGGATTTAAAACATATGTGGGAATGAATAAGATGATATTCTGATGCATGCTCAATAATACAGGTAGAAAAATCTAAAAAAGTTAAATCAGGTCCTCTGGATGTTCAAAAAAACCCTAAAAACAAACAAAAAATAAATGTAGAAACATTTCGTCTTTCATCCGACTGAAGAAGTCTTTCAGAGTCAGAAATTTTTTATTTTCGTTTGCAGCACATGTGCTGGAACAAAATATGTACACAGGGTCCCAGTTACATCCAACAAAACAATGTAAAAGAAAACAATGATAAGCTCTAAGATATTAACTAAGAAAAACATAAACTAAAAATAAACTAAGCACTAATAGCATAAAAACATTATGTTGAGAACAGCAGCACGAACATGAGCATGAATCTGTGAGCAGATGAGCACACATGAACACATCATGGAAACAGATCAGCAGCAACATGAAACAGATCAGCAACATGAAACAGATCAGCAGCAACATGAAACAGATCAGCAGTAACATGATGTGATTTTTCACAGTGATAATTCTGGTTAGAGATTCATGAGTCTAACAGCCTCAGGGTAGAAGCTGTTCCTCAGTCTAGTGGTTCTACATTTATTGCTCTTCAACCTCCTTCCTGAGGGGAGCGGGGCAAAAAGTGTGTGTGCTGGGTGAGTGGGGTCCTTCATGATGCAGGTGGCCCTCTTCCTGCATCTGGAGGTGTAGATGTCTGTGATGGTGGGGAGAGTGACTCCAACATCTTCTGTGCAGCCTTCACCACTCTCTGCAAAGCTTTTCTTTCTGCAGCTGTGCAGCCTCCATGCCACACGTTGATGCTGGAGCACAGGATGCTCTCCACTGCACACCTGAAGAAGGAGGTGAGGACTGAGCTTCCCAGACCAGCTCGCCTCAGCCGCCTGAGGAAGTAGAGTCTCTGATGAGCTTTCTTGATCAGGCTGGTGGTGGTGTTGTCCCAGCTGAGGTTGTCATTCAGGTGTACACCCAAGTACTTGTAGCTGGAGACCGGATGAAAGACAAAACGTTTCGACATGTTTTTGTTTTTTGAACACCCAGAGGACCTGACTTAACTTTTTTTAAGATTGATTTAAAACAACTTCTTGTAAGACCAGCATCATGCACACGCCTCTGTAATAGAATATTGTGATCAGTCAGAAGAAAAGCAGTTTCAGATTTAACAAGACAAGTATAGACATAAGTCCACTGTATAACTGGACGAACATGGACACAAGCCCACTGTTTACCAAGCCAAGCGTTGACACTGTCTAACAAGACAAGTATAGACACAAGTTCACTGTCTAACAGGACCAGTATAGACACAAG